TGTCCAAATAAAAGGTATCGTATCTAGCCTAAAGAATCTAAAGGGAGGAAACATGTCAGAACACTATTTTTTTAAAAAAAAAACTAGCAAAGGGCCCATTATTTGTCTAGTATATAGTCAGGGAAAAAAAAAGAAAGAGAAAACCTCTTTAAAAATATTAAAATAATTGGCCTCTTAAACAGAGAAAAATTTTTCCCCAAAACTTGAACTAAACGTTTTTGTGAGCTGGGCAGTATCAGGAACTATCACTAGTAAATAAACCAAGATACTGTGCTCTTTTCCCTGAATCATAACATATGCATTACAAAATATACATCTCAGAAAATTTTAGATGGCTCATTAATTCCCTGATCCATTTCTTCATGCACTACTGAAACTAAGGTGACCTTTCACAAATCAAGCTATGCATACAGTAGACAGTTGTCCTTTCTACTGCAGAAATTTCATTTTTAGGGAAACATTACTAGCTGAAGAAATAAGCCTTCAGCTGCTTTCATGTCTTAGACTCAATAAAGGATAAGGATAGGATATTTATCCCATGAGTGAACACCCTGAAGCAGTAATACGTGGTAGGCTTAAAGGAGATCTAAGAATCTCTGTTTGACAGACTGGCCATTTTCCAAATGGGAAATCAATGACTCTGTATTCTGGGTAAAGAAAAGCCAGGATGGTTTATGACTTGTTCTACATATACTGTGTATCCTGCCAAGCTCCGAATTACACACAGTTGAAGACAGTAAGAGGAGCATCCCATGTCCGGTGAGGGCAGCAGCAGCAAAAGCTACATTCTGGCAGTACTTTGCGCAGTGGCTTGCTAGATTTTGGAATTCAGCCTGTAGAAAGACATATATGTAGTGGGGAAAAAAAATGGAAGAAAACAGTGGTGGGTTTCTGGGCCTATGATGGCCAGCTAACTAGGTGTGGGCTTGTTTTGTTTCTGGCAAAGAGACTTGCAGAAATCATGCAATAGGTAAAAGTTAATTGTGTCTGCAGAACTAGAACATATCTTTATAATAACCTGTAGCATTCAGAACAAACTAAAATCCTATTTAGCTGTCAAAATCAATGCCTATATACTTAGTAACTGGCCAAAAACCACCCCAAACAAACAAACAAGCAAAAGCCAACCCAAAGTCTCCTAAAAAACTCTAAAAAATTCTGGTGCACAGGCTTTACACTATTTGGTATGTCATTGCTACAATCACACAGGAGCAGACAGAGAAGGCCACATATTCTGAAGGATTGATCATAATGCTGAAACACAACAAAACCCAATCAAACAAAAGAGGTTAATCAAAGTGTTAAATTATAACAACAAACTCAAACAACCAGACATAACACTCAGCAATATTTTTCCCAGCAATTTGTCAAGTGAATAAAATGAATGAATGAATAAATAAAATTAATAAAATTCCTCAAGCTCTTAAGAAAGACATGTTTTAAAAAAAACAAAAACAAAGCCACAAAAACTCCAACCCTTTACATTCTTCAGGACTTTTTTCTCCACTTGTATACTCAAGCAGTGTTTTGATCTCTCCTGTTGGGTTGACAGCCTTTGAGAACTTATACCCCATTTATAATGCTTTTGGTGAACTCACACCAGTGTACTCAACCAAAATATCCTTTATTCAGCTCCATGTATCTATGAGCAAATAACAGCCTGTAGGGATTCAGTGCATCAGCTGCTTAAAAGATAAACCTACCCAGCTTGATGAAAACTCTTCGCCACTTTCCTGTTGAGAGAAAACGGTTGCACATTTCTAATAAATGAAGCAGGAACTGTCATTTTTTTGGCAAACTGATAACTAGCTGTAACAGCCGCATTGCCACAAGTTGCTTTTCCAAAGTAATTACCATCAGGCTCCCTGTGGTATGCAGTGTTTAACACATTTCTTCTGTGTTAATGAATGCAAAAGCAGGCAACACCACTATTAGTAATTGCTTTTTATTCGTAGTCCTCATTTTCCAGATAGGTCACATTAAACACAGCCATTAAACAATAGCGGTTGAGAAAATCCATACAATGTATGCTGCTTTTGTTTGTTTTTTGTGTCATTCACCAGTCATTGGTGCAACTTTGAGCCATATGGGGAGACAGGGGCTGATAAATGAGAATGCCAACCTGTATCACAATTGGGCCAGAGAAGTCAAAATCTTAATCAGATTTCATTCAATTACACTTCAAATCAACAAATCTTGATAGCCAAAACTCCCATTTAAATTAATGTAAAAATAACTGACTGATTAAAGAAAATAATTAAACAATAACGAGTGGGTGCATGTTATGCTAGGCTTCCGACTCCTCGACCTCAGCAATCTCCCTTCCATTGGACAGCAAGCAGCATGAAAGTCTGTTTGAATGGTGTATCTTGCTCCACTCTGAGCAATTTTTGACTTTTAGGGGTAACTTGAACTGGGGAACTGATATTCTTAAGTGGGTAAATCACAGTTCAGGAGAATCTCTTTAGTGATATATATGGCAATTTAAAAAAAAGAAAGGAAAAAGGTCTTATTTGATTGGCCACTTGTATAAGGAACCCCCAATTCCCAGTTGCTGGCTTTCATTAATTAAAAAAAGATATAGAATGCCTTATTCTCTATTCACAGTGTACAGTACAATTTTATTACTTGTTTAGCTTGCCTCCCCTACTCCAACATTGTTTTTTATAATCATGTGGCAGACATTTTCTTTCAGTCTTATAAAGCATGTACGTAAGAAATGAGAAAAATTACCCATAAGCTTTATCTCTCCTTGCTGCCTCTTTCTCCAATGGTGATAGCAGAGACACCATGGAGAAAAAAGTTTTAAAATTCTTTTGTGTGCAGTATGTCCTTCACACACAATCATGTTAATTTTGACTGAACCAGCAAAATTCACACTCTGTAAGCTCTGCTGGTTTATTGGTTCATTATGCATCCATTCTAAATTGTGAAAGAGATTTCTTTACCTGGGGTATCCTTATTGGAAGCAGTATGCCAGAGATCTACAACACAAGGCAGTTGTAAGACAAATTAAATAAAAGCAAGATTTCCTAAACTCTTCTATAAAGCTGTGAGTCATGAATTCTGAATTACCTCAGAGTGGTAAATAAATAATCACTACTAAATACAGATAATGTGTTAAACAGCTAAAGCTAGTAAATCACTAGTGACAGAGAGCCTTAAGGTAAATTCCTCTTACATTGGCACAGCCCTTTCTCAGAATGTTGTGGGTTTATGTACTCAGAAACATACAATGAATTGTACAATTGGTTACTCAGTGTTAAAATCATTTATAAAATACACAAATCTCCATCACTTGACTGCATTTACAGACTGGCTTAGATTTTGCTGAATAATGGATCTCACTGGCAGAGCTAAAGACTTGGTGCACAGACACTGAAGTGATGGGCACCACTGAAATACATATAAAAGACTGATCAAACAATAAGAAATCCTCTCACTATGGAATTTCAAGCTATCAAGCTATCAAGCAAAACCAATCTTGGGTCTCCTGGCCAAAAAAAATAAAATTATATAACACAGACAACACCACATTTTAGATACATAAATTGTCCAAAACATGGAGAGTAGCTTGATAAAACATGTACAAGATCCTTTTTTTTTACATTTAATTGAAGACTTCTTTAAAACAGGAGGAGCTAAAAGCAAACTGTCAGCTGGTTGTCTCCCAAAGACAATTCATTGTAGGACTGACTGGCTAAAATCATCATTTAAATGCAAACCCAAAACCAAAATTGGCTGTTGGGTCAACTTTCTTTCTTGAACTGATAACTATGGCTTGTGGTATTTCAGATTGCCAACCTCTTTTATAAATTATTTCATAGTACAGGTTAAATTTAATAAAGCAAATACATAATTTTTAAACAATGTGCCATTGTACAGAGTATCTGAAATACGTAAGGGGACAAATCTTGAGCTAAATATTTTATTCTTCTGCTTCTTCTTGTTCTGTGCAAGTTCATTTTGAATGTGTATTAGTTTTTAACTTTCATCTGAAAGTAATTTTGAATTCTTCAAATGCAATAAAAACACTATTAGAAAAAAAAAAAGTAGAAGCTGTATCCCAAGTTATTCTGCAAATACTATTCAGATCAAGTGAAAAGCACACTGAACACCTTCCCCCCCAAAAATAAGCAGTGTATATCTAGAACTCAGTTAGTAATTGCACATTCTAAAGAATCAGAGAAAATACTGCCCATGCCACATTGGCACCGACATATTTTTCAGCTCTATGGACTTACTACCAAAATGTTGAAAATGGTGGCATCTCTGAAGAAGTCAATTAAATATCCTACATCAAACAGGCTGGCTGCATATGTTTGGAAAAAAACAAAACAAGGAGGTTCCAGATGTTGTTTCAAGTGTAATTTTTGTTATTAAACATGGGTTTGCAATAGAAGCTTCTACAAGGACTTGCACATAACCATGACTGATGGATGTATTTGTAGGCTGTTAGCTCCATCAGCTCACTCAAACACATTTTGAACAGATTATGTACTGCAGTACTTCGTAGACCATACATTAAACAAGAGACTTTGCTCTGAGGCGCTGCTTCCCATATTCCATGGGGAAAAGGAAGCAGGAAAAACAAAACTCATAGAGTTCGACAGCTACTGAGGCAACACTTGCCATTTACAATATAAGCCCAAATATTTTTGCAACACAACTATATATTAATTTAATAAAATACACAATATAGCTCTTATACACTCAACAATTTGGCTCATATGCACTGAATCTGCAATAAATCAATAAAAAATATGTCATTTGATGTAAACACACTGAATCTTCTTACATTTGCACATTTAAATGACCATGTGACTTCTGTGGATGTCTAAGACATTTTCACTTTCCTGAGCTATTTTAGTGTCCACAAATGAATAAAAAAGTGTTAATAATGTTAATTTCTTTTCTGTATTACCCTTAAGGTAACTCTTTTTTTTCCAACGTCGTTTTACTTCCTTTTTTTTTAAAACTTGTCACTAACTATTTATAGCTTTGTTGGACACTAAAATGCTAAATAGATATTAAAATTATTTTTTTTATCAAGTGAATTAGCTTATGTGTGTGCAGGACAAGATGGACTATATCATTGTACATTTAACCTTAATATGATATGAAGTGTTTCATTAATGATCAGGATATGTTTTCTTGAATAATGATCTGGAATGGTTCTTTTTGTTTTCTTGTTTTTGTTTTTTTTCATATTTGTGGCAGGTAACTTTGTACATAAATGTTTACCACAAATGAATGTTAATGTTTGGCGTCGCTTGGACTACTACAAGAACTCTTTATAGGACTTTCAGTAGGAACCTGTGGTGACTGCTGGAAATCTACCACAGATCAGCTTTATTCAACCCTGTTTTTCTTGGGGTTTATACGTAAACAGTAAAGTCAGCATCAGCTATTGAGGACAGTCTTAAAGTATCAGATGTATTTCCATTCCATCTTTCTTACACCTTCCTATCAGATTGTCAAAATGGCACTGTCTTTCCTTCTTTCATTTTGTTCTTGGTGTACTTGACTCTGTCCTAATGAAAGTTTGGTCAAAATGAAACCAGTGTTATCTGTCAAAAAGAAAGAGCAGTGAAAAGAACATACTTGTGGGCACTTCAGATGTTCACTAAAAGCCTTAAAGCAGCATTGGTCTTCCTTCATTCCTGTAATTCTGTTACAACCAGGGGATTTATTTATTTATTTACTTTTAATCAGCAGAAGAGGAACGTAACTGCCAGCCTGTCCTTATTTTCCCCCTCACTTTCTGATGGCCACAGGGTCACTTCCCCGACAGTCCTGCAAGAGCTTGTCTATTTCTCTCACAACTTCCTCAGCATCCACCGATTCCCTGCCTAGATCCCGGGCTGAACGGTCTAACTGCTCCAGAACAGAGTCCATCTCACTTGAGTCTCGGCTCACTCGGGAATGCACATCTGCGAAGGCCCTAGCCATCTGATCTGATGCAATGAAGGAAGTGTCTTTTGACTGTTTACTGGGCGATAGATACTGACTGTCAGTTGACAAGTACTGGCTGCTTGGTTCAGCCAAGGCTCCTGATTTCACTTCACAACCATCCAGTGGTCCTTTTGTTGAGGTGCAAGGCTCAATGCATGTCTTGGTTGGGCTGCTCGATGCTGAGGGAACCTCCTGAAGCAGAGGACTCAGGGCACGTTTGGCTTTTAAGTAAGGTTTGACATTGGCAATGAGAATAGTGTGCTCTCTCTTGTCTTTCCCAAATGTACAAAAAGTCTTTTTCCCAGTAGGATTCACAGTTTCGTATGTCTCAGTCTCAACATTAGCTTCAACTGTGGGTACAAAGAGATTTGTGCGATAATCTGCATTCTCAGCCTGACTGGCTGCAGGGAACTGTGGCATCCAACACCTGTCAGAATGACCAAGCACTCTGCATTCATCTGTGCAGTTAACACATTCTTCTTGCTCTGCAAAACAAAGGAGAAAGAGAAAAAAACCTCTAATTATAAGTGGATTTATTTAAACTAATGGATAGGCTATGATCAACACATGATGGGCTAACTTGACATCTGGTTTCTTAATTACGGAGAAAAAGGAGAAGCTATAATTAAAATATTTCAGAAGGTTTGCATAAACCTGTTAGTTGAGACAATAGATTTATTTAACTCTGTTCTCTACATATTAAAGCATTCACACAGCCCAATGGAAGTATAAAGGGGTCATTAGAGAATCATTCTCAGTGGAATTGAGCTTCATCTGTAAACTAATCTGCTGTAGAAATCTGTTATGCTTTGTTCTGTAAAACTCATCCTAGGAAAGAGCGAACAGTGCTTAAGGAACTCTAAAGGCATTATCAGGATTAATTTTTCAAATCAAATAGCTAAGCAATGACTGCTTTTTTGGAAATACAAACACTTCATAAAAACCAGCAAGCTGGTTTCTCATTTTTGTCACCTCCATTTCATTTGTAATTGTTATGTTGTGTGACAGTTACAAAATAGAAAGATTTTCATGAAAAGCCTACTTTTTCTGCTGAGAACATAGTACTAGAATTTTCCATCAGTATGCATTAAACATCAGCTTGTCAAAAAGTGCATATTGCAATTTTATTAGACATGAGTATGGATCATGTAATCAGTTTTCCCCTTCTTTGTTTTGGTGCAAGTAACTGAAAACGGATTTGCTCAATACATACAATTTGGAAGAATGACAAACTGTGACACACTATTTGAACTGATAATGTTTTCAGATAGGATTTCTATATTCTTGTTTCTTTCAAAGAATATAGTTAAAAAAGATGTCTTTTATTCACTACATTTTTAGGACATAAATTTTGATACTTCCCATTCTACAATTCAAAGAAAACTTTCTGTTTTAAAAATCTTAGCTTGTCTGTCATTTTACATTAATAGAATATGTTTGAGCCAACATTTGCAATTTTATAACTGTACTCATGACTCTAACCAAATATCAGGGATCTGAAAAATAATAAATAGAATAAATCCTTTTATCATCTCTAGGCTTCAGTTAACTATACATTGATCTTTAGCTACTAAGCATTTTCTTTCACAAAATGGGTGGACAGGTTCAATATTCATTTTATCTGAGGAATTTAATATTTAAAAAACGCCTGGAATTCCAGTTAGGCAAAAACCTGTTAATATATCTTCAAACGTAAGGATGAAACCCACATACAAAGACTAAAACAAATCTTCAGAAAAGCAAAACAAACTTGTTGACTCAAAGATAGGGAAAATGTAAGCGATCATCTTTTTAAATTAGAAAATAAATTCCTAGTAATCTTGTATCACCACCAGATTCATGGATGATTGCACTGCAGAAACATGACACAAAAGAAACACCAAAGGTGATCTATGAGGATTCAATAGTGTAAACAGCTTTGACCATTCAGATTTCTAAAAAGAGATGAATAAATATGACTTAAATTAAAATCATGCTACGTTGCAATGATAAATTAAATTGGGGCGAGATAATTTACTTAGAACTGATACTTGTTAAGGATGCAGTTCTGTGACAAAGTGCCATTCTGTATATGTGCTCCCTTCCTTGAAGACTTTAAAATCTAAGACTGGTGTAAGACCTAACAAAATATCAAAAGCAAGAGAGAATGAGGTACAGGGACAGCAGAATAGAGTGACTGCTGAGGAAAAGAAAGTAACATAGAGGCTTTAAATTTAAAATTCATAGAGGTGAGTCAGCCTCACCTGTGTACCTGGTAAGAACATGAAACAGAACTTCCTGGAAGATATATCAAAACATATGGAAGACAGGGAGGCGATTAGAGACAGACAACACGGCTTCACCAAAGGCAGATTGTGTCTGGCTAATCTAGTGGCCTTCTACGATGGAGCGACTGCATCAGTGGACAAGGTAAGGATTTTTATAAGGCATTTGATACGATCCTGCACAATATTCTTGCTGCTAAATTGAAGAGATGGATTTGATGATGGACTTTCAGATCAATAAGGAACTGGCTAGATGGTGCTATGCAAAGAGTTGCAGTCAATGGCTCAATATCCAAGTGCAAACCAGTAATGAGTGGTGTCCCTCCAGGGTCCACATTGCGACCAACATTACTTAATTATATACATAAATGTGATAGACAGTGGGACTGAGTGCACCTTTGGATCACAACAAGCCCAGTGGTTCATCTGATTCGCTAGAGGGAAGGGATGCCAGCCAGAGGGACCTTGACAGGCATGAAAAGTGGGGGGTCTGTGTGTGAACCTCATGAAGTTCAACAAGGCCAAGTGCAAGGTCCTGCATCTGGTTTGGAGAATTCACCATTATCAATATAGACTGCAGCATGGACAGATTGAGAGCAGACCTGCTGAGGAGGACTTGGAGGTACTGGTGGATGAAAAATTGAACATGAGCCAGCAGTTTGTGCTTACAGCTGAGAAAGCCAATTATGGCCTGGGCTGCATAAACTGAAAGAAAGCAGACTGAGATTGTATATAAGCTAGAAAATATTTGACACGAGAGTAGTGAGACACTGGAACAGGTTTCCCAGAGAAATTGTGGATGCCCTGTCACAGCAAGATTTCAAAGTCAGATTGAACAGCATATTGAGCAACCTGATCCAGTAAAAAATATTCCTGCCCATGGCAGATCTTTCAAGGTTCCTTCTGACCCAAACCATTCTATTATTCCGTAATCTCCAAGGAAAAGTAATCAGCACACTGCTTTTAGTATACAATAAAAATTAGGATCATCATGATGAAAAGCAAAAGACAACCCTAACCTTGGGACTGTAACACGGTGACAGAACTGAAAAGAGTTTAAGGAAGAAATTTAAGTTTGTTGTGTTTGATTTTACTTCACTTGAATGAGATAGCATTGGTATGAATAACTGTAGAGACAATATATGTGTGGCAATTGCTTAATGAAATGGGAGCCATACAAATAAAGGACATAGCTATACACCTCATTCAACCCATTAGTTCACCTCCACTAAAGTTCTCTGTATCTAGTTTTATGGTGCTTCTACAGCATCAAACAGCTGCTGCTTACAACAGCCAAGTGAAACTGCTACTCTCTCACAAAAACCCCAACAAATGAAGAAATCCAAAACAAACAAACAAATAACCCCACATAACCTCCCTTTACCCCCACCCTCCTAAAAAAACCCAAACCCAACAATTCCATAAAACTCACCAAAACAAACTAAATCACTACATTTTAAAAGATTCGTTGGGCAAGAGTATTGGACAGGAAGGTTCTGAGCTGGAGCATGGGATGGGCAATACCTAATACTAGACAGCTTTGATTACATTTTATCACAGAAATTCAGCAGAAATAAACAAACAAAAAAGTGCCCCAAGCACAACCCTTCCAACGTTAATTCTAGAACTTCAGATTTTGCAGATGCTTGCTATTAAATAATTTTGCTTTTTCTTTTCCTCCTAATCCTTCAGAGCAAATTTGTGCCAAGCTCAGTCTCTACCTTTAAAAGTGGAGTTATATAGTAAAGAGAAATAATAGGTGTTTTCTTTAGGATTTTCCCTAACCATATCTAAAATTATTTTTCTCTTACATGGAATTCATGACAATGCTGAATAGAAGCTTTCTGGTACTTTTAAATGTTTACCTAGGCAATTAATCAGCTTTCCAACTAACTTTTATTTTGTAAGCTTAACTATCCTTTGTAATTGTATCCTATTTGTAAACAGTGTTGCCAATTTTTAACAAAAGCTGAAAACATAACCATGCTGAATGTTACCTACCATGAAATGCTCAGAACTGCACAATCAGTTGACCAATATTTTGCTTCTTTCTTTCCTCTTATTTCATCAAAGCAAGATCACTTTTTGCTCCTTTCTCAAAGCAAAACAAAACCAAAGAAAAAAAGTAGCACTTCCTGTAAAACTTTCTAACCATATTTAATGTGTCGAGCTCATACTGTACTTGGAGCCCACCAGTGAACACAGTTGGGAAGACTTCAATACATTACAATCTATTTCATTAAATCACATAAAGGCTATCCATAGAAGGGAAACGATTCCCATCTTTTTGGTACTACTACTGTGCCATATTAACTTTAAATACATTAAGTTCATATATATTTATGAATATTTCTCTATCTCCACTGACAACATATATGTATGTATATATATGTACATGGAATACACAACTGAGAGATTCTAATTTGGCACTGAGTCTTCTTCTAAAACTTGACTGAACTGTATTTCTTTAAAATAAAAATAATTAATTTATTCCCTAAACTGAGATTGAAATGAACAAGTTTAAGATGAAAGGCAAAGATCAGAGAAGTTCTCAGTCACTGGAAAAAAGTTTACAATACTAGGTAGTCAGTACTGTGCCAAAAACTGTGCTTTGAGATTTTCAAGAATGATTAGGTTAATGTCTTGCAACCACTTATATTTGAAGATTTGTATTTTTAGCCCTTATGCATGCATACACATACACTGGTATGAGGAGAAGCCTTACACAGTGTTTACATCATTCATTACTGCCAATAAAAATATAAAGTTTGCAGGCACTCTCTTAAGTAAAAGAGAGATATATCATATAGCATATATATGTTATATATATATTGCATGCCATATCTTCCTTCCCCTTTTCATTTCCTGCACTTACTAAAGCAGTTTTTATACTTGCATTCCTACTCACAGTATCGACTAAGTTTCCATTTCTGCTCCCTGGGCATCCTAGCAGTGACTGAATTAAATATGAAGCAAAAAGAGAAGAAAAAACAAATACTGCATGACCCTAAATTGAAAACCACCTGCATTGCACGAGCTTTAGTGCTCTAGTCCTGAAAATGTGTGTCTTTTCACTTCACTCTTTTATGTCACATCATAGGAAATGGATTTTGAGTATTGATTATCATACATCATAAGCTGCTTGTCTCACCATTA